CCTTGCTCTTGCCTGGCAAATTTCTATCTTCAAGTTACAGCCAAATGTACCTCCTTTGACTTCTTTTTGGAGGCCTCTAGACCCTCCCTATTGACCTCCATGTCCCATGGATTTGGCTCCTACTTTTTCTACTCAAACAATAAACTTAACATTCCCTCCCTTCACTGAGGGTCACCATGGTGAAGGCAGTGCCAATCTTCATACAGCCCAGGACAACACCATTGCCAAGCCAGGGGGCATGTGCACAGGGCTTGCCCATATTGTAAGGAAGCATCCGTGGCCCTTTAACACTGCCGGTTCTGTGAGTCTACATGCCATGTCCAGTGGATGGATCCTACCCACTGTACCCTGTGAGTACTTCTCACATTTCTTGGGTATTGGATGGAGGTGTGCTTGGCCCCCAGCATGCACGTGGGATGCAGGGCAGAGGAGAAGGCTCCAAACCCAGCCAGGTACACTGGAGAGGCTGCACACACAGGCACACCTGCTGGAGAGGCTGCACACACAGCTTCAGGCCCTCTCATCTTCTTGATGTTATTAAAGATTACTGTGTTTTTTTAGGTTACTTTTTATAAGCAAAGAAAAATGAATGACTTTCATTTGGAATGTTTTCAGGGCTACTTCAGGAGGGATGTAGCAAGCCCGCCTGAACACTGCTACTGCTTTTGCACAGCCAGCAAAAGTCACTGACACTCTGAACAGTGCCCCAGTAGCTCCAGGACTGGTATCCCTGATTCTGGGCTAGATGCATGCATCCAACCCTGTGGACCCAGACTCTCCCTATCCTCCTGAGAGGATTCCTCCATCACACCAGATGGCATTCTGGAAAGACACAGCCTCAGAACACTACAGATGCTCAGGTGTGACCAGAGATCTTTCTATACCTAGAAAGAGAGAAGGGTAGCTGGGAAGCCCAGTTCAGGACACTCGGTAGCCAAGCCCAAGGCCAAGTACACACTCACCTTTGCACACAAAGCACCTGATGTGGAAGTACTTGTTCTGCACACGCAGCACCTCACCCTTGCACACATTCCCACAGGTACTGCATAGGATCGCAGTGCTGGCTGGCTTCTCCAGGGGGGCATGAGCAGCCTGAGGCTGCGACACTGTGGGGAGAAAGGAGCCAGGTTAGAGTGGGAGACACTCAGGACATGAAGAGCAAGAGGATGCCTCCCAGCATGTCCCACCCATGCACTGGTCAAGTGACACTCAGGTTGTATGACAAGTAACAGCTCTGAGGACCAAGATCATTTGGTAAACTCATTGTGGGCTCTATTTGTGGCTGCTCTACTCAAGTAGCAGTCTTATTCGTATGGCTGCATAGTCATCTATGATACCCCTCATATCTCTATGCAGTGCTGATGTAGCAAAGCCACCATTGTCCCCTCTTGAGGAGCAACTAACCCTTGTCTCATCCATCCAATACAACGTTGACACCTAGAGTCTCAGAGGGACATCACTTCCAGATAGCTCAGTGATCCTGCAGCCATGGGACCCTCAGTCTCTTCCTCAGACAGCTGCAGCCCTCTGAGAGCTGGTTTCACATTTCCTTTGGGTCCCAAAACATCAGACTAAACATTGTTAGTGGCTCCCAAGAGTCAGCCACAGGCAGGTAAGCAGTTGAAAGAGGCATTGAAGACCACAAGTTCAAGAACCTGGGTTGTGGTCCTAGGACTAGGCATGATCATGCACCAGGTATGACCTTGCAGCCTGCTAAATCACTTACAGATGCCAGCACATGGGATGCTAGCTTATGGCATAGAAGCCTTGGGTCTGCCCCTCAACAGCCCTATAGTGGGGAAGTATCCAGGAGATTCTCGAGTTTATAGGCTAAAGCAAAACTGAGTGTATTCAAGGAACTAAAGAGCCATAGGTCCCAGGTTGCCATACAGAGACCATGTGGGTCTGTGGCAGGGACTACTGCACCCTAGCCTAGAGAAACCAAACACTCAGCTGATGCCAGGCCAGCAATGTACCCAGATATATATTGGGACATTATGAACATGTATGGGACTTGGGGTCTCCTAAGCTCAGACAAGGGCTGAGGAGGCAAAGGGAAGGCCATTGACTGTCCAGCATGGCCCAATGCCATCAAAGGACATTTCTTGGGTAACCAGTGGAGACATGATTTAGGAAGCAGTCAGAGAGGCACAGCATAGCTATTCTCAGCAAGGAAGGACCATGAGCCATGAGAGCTGGCATCTCAGAAGCCAGCAAAGGTGAGGTGAGGGGTCCATCCGCAGCTACAGAAGGAACAGCCACAGCCTCAACTTCAGCCCAGCACAACCTGCTCAGCCTCGGTCCCCCAGTGCTACTCACCTTCATTATTGTAGCCAGAGGATACACACACAGTGGCAGTGATGGAGGGGACAGAGTGGAGAGCACTGGCCATCTGCCCTTCTCCCCTCAGAGTGGGCAGGACCTACCACTAGCAACAGCAGCCCACAAGAGTAATCTTAGCCACCTACTGTGTGAACCACCATGCTGAGAACCAATGCATAGCCATGCCCAGGGGCTGCAGATGCAGGGTGGGGAGTCACAGCCTACAGCTACAGCTACAGGCCAAAGAACTCAGCTCCACCTACCATACAACCCTGTGCCACAGCCAGAAGGCGGGTGTTATCTCCAGTAACAGCCCTGGAACCTAACCATGCCTTTGCAGCATGAGGGAGAAATGTGACTGCTCACCTATAGCTGCTGCCTGACCTTTGCCCCTGCCTCCCACCCAGGACCAGCCATAGAAGCCGAACTGCCTCTACCCTGTCACCCAGATATCTGCCTCAAGTTGCCGCTTCGGCTTACCCAGGCTGATAGTCTCCATGCGGCTCACTTCATCCTCTCTCTTCCACTGGACTTCTCCCACCTCTGTGATCTATGCCACCCTGATGACCACAGTGACATTGGTGGCCCCTCAGCAGCAGCATGATACAGCCTACAGCCCTTGCTGTCACATGCAGCCAGTCTCTATCACCACAAGCTCCCAGCACCTTGACCTAGCCACAGTGGAACTTCTATCACACTTGCCCCTGTCCCTTGACTACTGAATTGGATCAGAAACACCCATCCATCCTGTAGAAAGTGGGTGGGAGGCCAGAGAGCCAGGGCCTCTGACTTATCTGGACTTTGAGAGCCTCAGTGTGGCCAGGCCTTACAGCTATGGATAAGAAGCCGAGCTGTAGTCAGTGCTCACAGCTGTGTATGGCTGGGCTACAGGGGGGTCTTGTAGATGACATCCTTGTGAGTCACCCTGGTCCTATGTGGCTCAGAGATGCAGGGTGGGTGGCTCTCCAGAACTTTTATGTCCACCAAGTTTGGGACACAAAGGACAATGGGCAGTATCTTCTCCTGGTCAGACAAGACAGGGATTATATGGCCTGAATCTGGCTCAAGGCCAGGATGAGCAAGAAGTTATTTTCAGCTTTGGGGTCCTGTGGGCTGTGGGGTGGGCTGGCCTGGTATACAGTCTCAGCTCTGCCTCTTGTGGGGTTGTGACTTAAAGAGAATTTCTTCCCACCCCACCCCTGCCTTCCATCTACCTTTCCATCTGTCCTGCATATCCACCCACCCTCTGACTTCGATCTGTCCTTCCATCTGTCCTTTCCATCCACCCACCCTCTGCTCACAAAGGGCAAAAGGCTGTGCTTAGCAACCAGCCCAGCAAACACTGAATTGTTCCATAACAATGACCACCTCATTTTCAGGAATATGTGGGGGCTGGGTGTAGCTCAGTAGCACGGTGCTTGCCTAGCATGCAAAGGCCCTGAGTTTCATCCCCAGCACCAGTTCCCAAGTTACTGGAAATACATCTGGGCAAGAGCTATATTAAGAGTGTGGATCTGCTGGCCAGATCCCACTCTGCCCACTAGAGCCGCCTGGAGCTGTGGGTCTGGTATTGGTGCTGCCCTCTGGTGGTCAGAGGAAGAGCTGTGCTAACCCAAGAGCGGGATGCCAGGAAAACCCTGAGCTTCCCTCTAGGCTAGTGAACTGGTTGCAGATTTTGCCCCTAGTGGGATTCAGTTCTGGAACCTGAGGCAGTTGGGGAACAGCAATGTCAAGTGTACCCATGGAGAGGTAACAGCAAGCCTGCCCAGCCTGTTCACTTCCTTGTCACCCCATCCTGTCAGTGCTTCCCAGAGGGGACTGTATTTCTCACAGCAGCAGGCAGAATCAAGCCACTTCAGCCACTTGTGGATGACTTGAGGGTCTGAGACAAGACAGAGTCAGACAGGCAGGAGGACATAGAGAAAGCAGAGTCCCCAGCTGTCCTATGCTGCATTTGGGCATCTATGGGGGTGGGAGTCGACAGGGAGCTGAATGCTGGCAGAGGAGGACTACTCAGGATTCAAGGTTTTGGTGTGACCCTGCCTCCTTAAAGCCACTCCAAATATAGAAATGCCCAAAGCAAGGCTGAAAAAGCTGTCCTTGAAGGTCAAAGACAGTCTGGCAGCCAGGGGCACTAAACTGTTAAGAAAAAGCAACCTTTCCAACTAATAAATTATCCAAACAAAGCTGACAAAGACCCAGGCGCCTCTGAGGCAGACAACTCCTGTCCTCCTTGCTTGGCTTGGGCTGGGCTGGGCACAGATTCCCCCTTCCTAGGCTCCAGCCCAGACACTGTGAAGTAATCACCAGGGAACACAACAGTGTAATTCGCTGCCTTCCCTTCAATACCCTACTGGGTGCAAAGGGGTCTGTTCAGCCCTCCTGACACCCCTGTGACACCAGAATGGTGCTTACCTCACAAGCAAGGAACTTGAGACCAAAAGCAGCTAAATGGGCCAGGCCAGCCATGCCAAGGCTTGGAAATACCAATCAGAAGTGGGGACAGGGGAGCCTGCACAGTGCAACCCTGAGGCTCATATGAGGGCCTATGGTCCAGGAGATGCAGAATTTTTTGACTTTTTAAATGTCTTTGGTGACTCCAAATCATCCCATAGCTGCTTATTCCAGTGACTTGGGCTGGGTACATGCCTAGGACTGACTATGTCTGTCCCATCAGAGGGCCAGGCCACTCTCTGAGCTGCATTTGGGAGAGAAGATAACACATAAGGCCTGGAAACCCACATCCTGCTCCACTAGAGTCGGATTTGGGAGGAAGAGGCTTCACAGGGATGAAGGCTGCCCCCAGAAGGCTGTTCTAGGGCCTGGGGTTGGCAGGGTCAAGGAGCAGACCCATGAGCTACTTGGTCCAAGGTAAAATATCCACTGCATCTTCCAGAAGGGCAGCTGACAGGCACCCACACTCCCCGCTTCATCAGATGTCAGATTCATTTCTAGGCATCTATTATGCTCACTTTTCAGTGCCTGTTGATCTCCAGTGTCCCCTGCCACCCCCAGCTCTAGTTCACAGAGTCACAGCTGGTAGTCTCTTCTGAGCTTTCTTGTCATTCCTGAACACAGGCTCCTGGAGCCTGAGTGGAAGGACTCTCAGTCTCCACCACCACCTTAAGAGCAAACCCCTGTGCCCCTGACTATGAAAAGTCCTACAGGATTTCCTCTAGGATGACAAGCCTTCACACCTGACTGCATGTGGCAGACACCTGTGTCTGTCTGCTAGAGGATCACTGCCATCTGTCTGTCTACTGCCCCAGACAGGGAAGGCCTTGGAAGGAGCCAAGTGAGATCCATCACAACCTCTGAGGCCTTTCATGATGGACTTGAGGGACTAAGATAAAGCAGAGGTCTCCCGCATGCCTCCAGCAGGGGAATAGAGAAACTCGAGCATGGAAGGTGACAGCATTAAGCAGAAATGAATGTCAATCCCTGAAGAGCTACGGAGGGACCTTAAACACATGTCACCAAGGGAAAGCAGCCAATCTGGAAATGCTGCAGCCAATGATTTCCACTATGGATTTCTGGAAAAGGCAAATCTGGTGACAGTTGGTGAGTGGCTTCTGGGTAAGGTGGCGTATGCCTCTAATGCAAGCACTTGAGGCACACACAGGCAGATCTCTGTGAGTTCAAGGCTAACATGGTCTCTATAGCCAGTTTCATGTTGGGAGAGAGGAAAGAACTGGGAATCTCTAAGAGCACTCTGATGACACTGAGATGGTGGAGGCATGCCACTGTATCTTTCCACACCCACAGAGCCCACAAAACTAGTGTGGACCCTGATAGAGCCATGGGCTTAGTTTATGGTGTATGTCAATGCTGTCCCAGCAGTCCTAATGCACATATTACAGCATTGTAAGATGTGACAATAAGGAAAAACCACGCTGGAAACTCTGCCCTTTCTGTCAATCAAAAGGAACTGCCACACCCAAGGCCTAAATACAAGTGTGCAGGATTGTTGCTCCATAATTTCTAGATCGGCTCTAATAGGTGGTTAACAACCTCTCACTGTGATAATAACAGAAAGCATCAATTCAAGCGGTAGGAATCAGTCACACTATGCTGTGACTACTTATATTTAAGCCCTGTGGCAATGAACCCCCAGTGCCAGGGAGCCTTGATGGAGCAAAGAAAACAGGTGTGGGGACATCAACTTTAACTCTGTCTGTGGGGACAGCACCCACAGGAATTCACTGCAATCCACATTTCTTATTCCTTCAGCTGGACTCTGGCTGGGCACTTGCCCTAGAGCCTGGAGGAACTGAGATGGAGTCACTACACCTGCAAATTGGGGCTGTCTGAGGAGTTCTGAAGGTTCCACTGAGGTGGTGTCTGACAGGGGTGGCAACTGAGAGCAGAGCTCCCTCCTGGGCTCAAAAGCCACAATTGCCATAGGCTGGGTCAGGGAGGGGCTACAGAAAAGGGAAGCCATCTCCCCGAGGACTGCAATGTCTGAAGCAGGGCCCACACACATTCCTTGAAAGGCTAGAGTGAATATTCTAGGTTCTGAAAGCCCTGCAGTCCCTCATCATCAAACCTGGAGGTGGCACCATGTGTCACATGTGTATATGTTATATCCACCATCTCCCACATGATCCCAAGCAAGCAAGGCCAGTGTCTAAAAGCTCTTCCTCACCATCCCCATTGTCCCAGAGCCATCAGCACATCCTTTGGTGATCTCTGCATTTGGGAACTCTGCAAAGAACTGTCGACTTCCTTTGTAAGCCAGGACTGCAGAGCCAGTGTGTGATCCTAAGGACATTAGCAGTCCCGCCCCCATCTGCCCCTTCCTTCCTTCATCCCCTTGATCAACGCTTCAGACCCGATCCTATACAATGAACTACACTGGGTCTTGGAAGACCACGGTGAGCATGTCCTGGCCCTGGACATGCTCCAGTGTGGACACCACCTCACCAGAAATGGCCAACCACCTCATACAGAAGAGAAGGTAGAGACTAGAGGTGGTCACAGCTAGGAGGATTCAGTGTGAGTCTGATGCTGGTCTGGGAATCACAGATGTGCCAGCTGAACACCACATACACAGGTGGCAGGAGGGGCCACATCAGGCACATGAGTTGTGAGGCAAATTCCTGTCTCGCCAACTGGATGGCCAAGCACTCACCATGCTGAAATCCCAGAGCCTCTTAACAATTTATTCCCTCTCATGGACTGAATCCTATACTTTGTTCCATCCTTGTCTAAGCACCAGTGGTCCCTGAACCCCTGAATAGGGGCTCTGATGTGTCCAGAAGCCAGAAGCCCATGTTGCTTATATTTTCTATTTCAAGAGTGGGAAGAGGAGGAGGGGAGGTGGGTTGTCCAGGTGAGGGTTCTTAATGGCTGTAACATTCTAGCAGCCAAGGTAGCTTTGGGGAGCCTTCCAGCTGCTGTGTGTGTTACAGAAACAGCTGTTCTGGGGTTCCTGAATTGTTCTAAAGTTTTCTGTGACCAGGCATTGCTTGGTCCAATGGCTCTGGTTCATCCACAGAGAGTGGTTTGATGTCTAAGTCCATCTTCCCCTTTCAGATGGTTCTGTGACAATGAGCTGGGAGGACACTCTAGGTTGAAGGCAGACATAGCAGCTTGGTGAACTTACAGCAGGTGGGAGGGCCTCTAAAAGTGACATGGGATAGAGACTCTGGGGCTGGGCAGTACCTTCTGGGATAGAAGCAAGCACACTTCCCATGCTGGTCTGGGTCACTGCATGACCCTGTGGGCCATGTCTGTGTCCCACTTCTGCCACTATACCCATGCCCTTCCAGGGGCATATGATATCAACCAGTGTCCCAGGGCCTTGGGGACTCTGGAGGAATCTTGTACACACCCAAATCCATGACAACCTATGGAAGACAGCTTAATCTGTGTTTCAGGGCCTGAACAGCACACTGCCATTCTGTGTGGATGCTCAGGGTTAGGGTGGGAAGAGTTCAGGGTCTCTGGTGATTGTTACAAATCCCCCAGATTGTAGGGGGCAGAGGAAGCTCTGAGCAAGTGAAGTTCTGAGTGAATATGTGTTGTTAACATAGGCATAGCCACATCCGGTACCAAAGCCTCAGCCCCATGGGAAAATGTCAGAGCCTTCCCTCCTGGTCCAAGTGAAAATGTTGAAAATGCCCACCATAGCCTTCTGTCCCCCAGATGCTTACAGCCTGGAAACAGCTCCCCTTCCGAGACTGCTCCTATTGAGATTAGCTGAAGCCCCTGCTTCCTTGTTCATCTGTATATAATAAACTTGCCTCTTGGTTCATCCATGCAC